AAGACCCATCTCCCTCCTCAGCTGCATAGCGAAGACTGGAGAAAGAATGGCTCTTAAAAGACTCAAGTGGAAAGTCGACAGCCCACACCCTCACATTTTTGCTTACACCAAGAACACCGGCACAAGCAACAACATTGCCTAGATAATCAGCACAGTGGACAATAAACCAGCTTTGGTGGTCTTCCTCGACATGGAGAAGGCCTTCGAACTAGCAAATCCACTGGCCATTATAACGATACTCGCCAAAAAAGGCGTCAAAGGAAGGTTGCTGGGGTGGATCCAGAGCTACCTTACACAGAGAGAAGCAACAGTACGATTTCAGGGGGCAACGTCAAGCTACAGGGTCCACGAAAACGGAACCCTACAAGGAGGTATCCTCAATCCAACGCTGTTCAATGTCCTGATGGAAAATCTTGTCAGACTTCCTTTCAGAAAAACAGCCAAGCTCCTTTGCTATGCAGACGACTTACAGCTCATAGTAAGAGGAGCAAACAGACAAGTCAACACGCAACACGCACTCCAACTTACAGAATATGAGTGCAACAGACTTGGACTCAAGATAAATCCAGCCAAGTCGAAAGCGATGGCCATCTGCACAGACACACCAGTCAAGATGCTCTCCATACAAAACACGCCGGTAGTCTGGACCAACACCCACCAGTGTCTTGGAATCTGGTTCAACCAGAAACTCACTTTCAAGCCGCAACTCGAGTATCTCAGGCACAGGACGAAGAGCAGACACAACATAATGAGGTCGCTCACTAGCACAACCGCAGGAGCGAACACACACGTGCTCAAAGCCTACTACACGGCCGCCATCAGATCGCTGGTAGATTACAGTGCTCCAGCGCTCATTGGACTGAGAGAAGACCAGATAGCTAAGATTGAAGTTATCCAAAATAATGCTCTCAGGACCATGCTCGGAGCACCCATGTGGACCAGAATTTGCAATTTGCAAATGGAAACTGAACTACCACCCGTGGCAGTATGAGTCAAGCAGGTGACAGCCGGTTTCCTCGCCAAAATATGTAGATCAGATAAGCCCACAGCTGCCAAAACGCTAATCAGTGCCTCCCTCCACCTCGACCACACAGTGCGAGGGGCCACCTGGTCGCACGAGGCAAGCGAGGTCATCGGGCACCTGCAAGCAGAAACACTCGTCAAAAACAACCAAGACACACTAGACCGTGATTATGTAGTTCCACCACCATGGAGCCCTCCACCAGCAACATTCAAAATCATCGAAATAGGTGATAGCAAAGCCAACCTCCAGAAGGAGGACCTCAAAAGAATAACTCAGGAAGCCATAGCCACCGAGACACCGGCTGATGCAGCATCATACTTCACAGAGGGCTCGGTGGATCCAAAACATCATAGATCCGGAGCGGCCTTCTACACCCGGGTCAGCCCCTCCTATGGAGACTTTCTAATGACTGCTCCACCCTACAAACAGAGTTGGTAGCAATCTTGAAGGCCCTACAACACGCTGCAACACAACACAACAAGTCCATTATAATTCACACGGACTCGAAAGCGGCCATGCAGGCGCTGCAACACAGTTAACCAAGAGACAACGCCCACATCATAACCTCGATCCTCGCACAGCTACAGGACTTCCAAAGACAAAATCGCCCTGTCGTCTTACACTGGATTCCCAGTCTTGTAGAGATCGGGGGAAATGACGTAGCAGACGAAGTAGCCAAGGCAGCCACACGTTCTAAAAGCGTAAACAAACAAGTTCCAGCAAGCGTGCAATAGATCAAGTACCACCTCAGAAAGACTACCAAGCTCCATATCCAAAAGAGTTTCCGTGAAGCATTCAACGCTGGTTCCCATTCAGCCAAATGGTACCTGGTGGCCACAAAAGGGAAAACACCATTCGCGGACAAGAAAACACCAAGAAAAACCCAAGTTAGCCTTCATCGACTACGACTAGGGTACAAGTGCACCTAGCAGACGATCGGAAATGTCGTCAGGGAATACTGTCAGGAGCCAGCGGCCAACCCACTGAAACACTATCTCCTCGACTGCGAAGTCACACAAAATCTTAGAAACAGAATTCGAAACTTCCAAGAAGAACACACAACACCAGCATCCACTTTAACCCGAAAGGCCCAAACAAACCACATTCACCACCTTCTCACCGGGGTGTCAGGGTCAAACTGTTGTGGATCCCCTCTCACACAGGCCTCATAAAACATGACAGAGTTGATGCCCTCGCCAAACTCGCGTCTAACAAAGACACCGTTGAATACAATTTGGGTCTGTCAAAAAGAACCCTTAAAACTGTAATTAGGAAAGAACTTATTGATGAGTTTGACGCAAGTAGCCAAGTATATCATATGGCCATGCAAGTAACACAAGTAGATTGATTACAGATTAAGGTTAGGATATAAGTACCTAGTATGTTCCTCAAGTGTAAACCTCAAGGCCACTTGAACACTACGTAAAGATAGAACCTTTTAGGGACAGGTCCAAGCACACTGTGTGTGAAATGGCACAACACTTCATCTCTAATGGCAAGATAGCCGACATATTAAGATTGTATCCACTTTTTTGCACTTAGTAACTATATCAATTCTCATGTACAGAACCAAATACGCAATGTGCTTGAATACCTCCCACGTAAATGTGAATAACAAAGTGTGAGGCCAGACATACTGGCTCACACGCCTGTTCTCACGCATTTGTGAATAAGTTACCCTTTATGTATAGAACTAAACAAATAATGTAAATGAAATACTGTGTAACTTTCAGTGCCATAATATTCTGACAACGGGGGTTAATTATTATGACCCTTTGTAAACCCTACTCTGTAATCCTTTTGCGCTACCGCTCACAGGATGAGTGTGGGGTGCACAATAAAGTAGCCGCTGCAAGCGGCAAAATCAAAATCAAATCATCCGGATCATCATATGATACCCACTACCCAGATAGCTCAGGAAGTATCCTCCCCCAGCAAGTGCGGAATACAGTTCGGGGAGCTCTCCACTCCGAAACAGACCACGTCCAAGAGTGGGGGTTGGTGGTAAGCGTTCACTGACCGAGGGTCCGCTGACACTTGCAAACCTGCAGTATCCTTTCATATCTGCAGGTAGGAAAACCTCCATCCCCAATCCCAAATCCGGTCTGGCTGCTCCAAGAGCTCCAGCCGGAACCACCAAACGGGCCGCCTACAGGCAAAGGCCCGTGTCGGACTACGATCCAACAATCTCAACAACACAACAACAACTATTTCTCCTTAGTCTGTACTCACCCCTGAAGATGTGAATTACACGAACGCGCTTGGGAACTTCGTGTTTTCTTGTTTCCTTGTGGTTATCAGCATATACTTGAATCATGCTCACCTACAGTGATTTATTTGCATATATATATATATGCAAGTAAATCACTGTAGGTGCGCGTGATCTAGGTATATGCTGATAACCAGAAGGAAAGAAGAAAACACGAAGTTCCCAAGCGCTTTCGTGTAATTCACATCTTCAGGGGTGAGTACAGACTAAAGAGAAGTACAAAACAAGGTGTATATATACAGAGGAGGGTGAGACCAGGTCCACACTGGTCATGTATTAGGTAATGACCCTACTAATCTTTAAATAGCACCGCAACAATGCTAAAAGCAGCCCTAGACTTTGTAATATTTCACACAAAGTCTTGGACTGCTTTTAGTGTCTTGGCGGTCTAGAGGTAGCGTTCCCTGGTCACACACATATGATCGTGGGTTCGAGTCCTGGCGGGGTGAGCTTGTTGATTATATGTAGAAGTCCGTGCGCTTTATGGGCTAATAAAATATATATGAACCTCGTGCTTCGAAGCCGGATTTGGTAAAACGTTACTCTGATCATCTAAGAGACACGGGTAGTCCCCAATTGGATGTTCACGGCACCATAAGCTCGATGAACAGGTTTTTTGTGAAATATAACAAAGTCTAGGACTGCTTTTAGTTTCCTGGTGGTCTAGAGCAGGGGTTTTCAAACTATGGGTCCCTACCCTTCAGTGGGTCGTGAAGGAGAGCATTTCCTCTCATGTCAGTGTTTGTCTTTGATTTACTCATTTCATATCATTACACTTAGGTTTAATGGGTCACAATTCAAATTGTTGTTCTTGTATAGATATGTAAATACCAAGAGATGTGAACACGCCTGACGCCAGGACTCTTGTTACCATTCATTGTACCATTTATTCACATGTCTGTATTACTACATATTATTATAGCACGTTTGATATCTATGCTTATGTCTAATGCCTATGTTCACTTACCATGTACCAATGTACTATGTCTGTACCGCGCTAGTCGAGTAACTAGAAGACCTCATGTATTGTTCTAGTAATGTCTAGCAACTCTCCTTGCCTAGCTAGCTAACATCCCTCAGATCGGCTTCGGCCTGCCTACGATGAGGAGTTCCTTGTGCTGGCTCCTGTTCCTGTACCGGTTGGTTATCCTGCCAAGTCTTGTACCACTTATTGAATATATCTACTGCTCGTGCTATTGGAGTTTGAAGAACCTTGTCTAGGATTTCATCCCACCACAGTTCTGGCTGTGGGTCGCAGTAAAAAATTTTTGAAAAACACTGGTCTAGAGGTAGCGTTCCCCGGTCACACACATATGATCGTGGGTTCGAGTCCTGGCAGGGTGAGGTTGTTGATTATATGTAGAAGTCTGCGCACTTTATGGGCTAATGAAATATATATATATATATATATATATATATATATATATATATATATATATATATATATATATATATATATATATATATATATATATATATATATATATATATATATATATATATATATATATATATATATATATATATATATATATATATATATATATATATGAGGTAAAGACGGAGCGTGACAATTATATTTATATATAAACCAAGTTGAAAAAGATAATCACAAATTTGCTTAAGCGCTTTCGTGTATTTAACACATCTACTGCAATCTATTATTCCTACAATTTAAATACTCACACCAAATTTTGGTTCTTGCAGGAAGTAAGCATAGGTGTTGGCCCATTTATTCTTAATAAAGCCCGTGCAGAAGTGATGGACTTTACTTTTCCAATACTGACGGACTACTGGAGGATCCTGGGTGCTCGAGGGAGGCCAGAGGTGGACCCGTGGGGCTTCTTGATGCCCTTAGCGCCATTTGTATGGGTGGCCATCCTGATAACATTACTGATATTAGCTGCGATAGTGTTCCTCATGTCTTCATGCTTCTCCCCTCAAACCAAAAATCAAGGGACCTGGCTACAAATCATGTTCTCCTACTTCCGCATACTGCTACAGCAAGGTAGGTAAAAAACAACATAGATATACTTGAAAATTTATGGTACCAAGCACCAAAACAAGCTAACCCAATCTAGTAAAGGTCAAATAAATAATAGATAAAAGATTTGGGTGTAGTTGATGCATTATATAAGAGGATGCAGGATCTTTTGGAAGGAACATAGCCTAATTAGATTAACATAACCATTCCTTAATTTAGGTTTGTAGTGTTGTTCGCTTGAGTGTGTGGTTAGAAACTGTATAAAAGGAGTTGGTAGATTGTAAAATAATCCAAATTTTCAATGCAAGAATATATATGAACGACAATATGATTGAGACATTTGAAGATATGCATCGAAAGAGGATTTAAATTATGAGTTTGACGATTAGGTTTTTATGGAACTTTATGAATAATAAAAGCAAGACTATTTCAAATAAATTCAACGATTTTATGGTATATCTTCCTCAACAGATATATTGGTGTCTGATGACTGGTGGTGGGAACGGGTAGCGTTGGGACTGTGGATGTTGATGACGCTGGTGTTAACAAGGAGCTACTCCAGTACCCTCATGTCCCTCCTGGCAGTGAGACACATCTCAGAGCCTTACCACAGCCTCCGGGAGGTGCTTGCTGACTCTTCGGTTACCATGTTGTGGTTAAAAGGCACACCTGTATGGCGCTACCTAACCGTGTGTAATTTAAACAACTTTTTTCTCCTCTCAATGCCATATGTATATTATAATAAGTCACACAAACAGTTCATTTGTTTCTGGACTCATTAAAAATCTTTATTTGAACCTTTAAATAAGTGATTTCAGAAAAAAAATAGCCACCTTGTAAACATCCTTTCATCATTTATATAGAATCACTTCGTAAATAAAAAAATCTAGCTATTTTATAAAGTCCTCAAATATATCGCTTCAAATATGATAATATTCTCAGACTGTAGAATCTGGTAAATTCCGTGAGGCCGCCGATCTGGAGAAGGAAGGTCGCCTCTTATGGAGGAGGCACGCACAGTTTCCAAAGGATATGGACATCTGGGTCAGGCGGGGCACTTACGTTCTCGTGGATGTACATAATGCTCTGATAATGTCCATAGCTAAAGACTTCACGGAGACAGGTATTATCGTTTGATTCATTTTAAGTCATCGACGTAAATATTTAGGGTGTATTATTCTGGTAGTCATTTCATCTGGTTAAAATCATTTTCGATCTCACTGCGGGTATCAGAATGATCCTTAACCTATTTCATATCAACAATATTAGTTAAGCCTTTGAGTTAGAATTCTTACTTTTCCATTTCGGTCAGAGACAGTTCCCTGTCCATTGAAGTCATAGTATAATAGAGGACAATAAAAACATAGCAGCTACAATTATTATGAGCAATCATCATCAGTATTGTATACTACAATGCTCATTGGTTACTGTTGTGATCAGATAAATGTTAAAGTTCGCTTTCTTAAATTATATGTTACTGGAATAAGGTTTTGGTGGTAAGTTATGAAACATAACTAACCATCCTACAGTATAGTTATATCTATGTCTAAGAATAACATTGGATGGCTAGAGCCTAATATAGGAGTGGACAGTCTTTACCATTTAGACCTTTGATAAAGAATAAGGAATCCTAGAGGGACTAAAATAATAATATAATGAGTTGACTGGCTTTTGTCTTTGTTCAAGACAGCTTCAGAGGCAACTGAATTACATGGACGGAGAGAGGCTTAAGTACACAGGGTGACCTTATTAAACATGAGGTCAGGTCATTATCATAACATCCACTAAACCGCACACCAACACACACGCAGAGGAGTTTAAAAGAAAAGGCGACGTGACTAGTCAGGTTAAACCAGGTAAAAAATATGGGACCCACTAATCATCTATGCTACATCTAACACCAAGGTTTTCAAAGCATTTTTAACCTTGGGCCACTGACAAATAAATTTGTGTAACATATTATCAGTTTTGTACTGACCATCACTAAGGTTTATAGAATTCAATTCCCTAATCAAACTAGCTTCAGCTAGAAGTCTTTCTGTGACACATGATGATTTGTGCACTTCTAAGCTTTTTTCCCAATCAATGGGATGATTATTGTTCGTAACATGAACGAACAGGGCACTGCTTTCAGATGCTGTTCTAATATTGTACTTGTGCTGTTTGATTCTGAGTTGCAATGCTTTCCCAGTCTGTCCTACATAATTTCCATTACAGTTGCTACATGGAATACAATAAACACTTCCATTTACATTCAAAGTTGGGCTATACTTGATTAATATATTAGTAATGGTTGAGTCATACTTACAAACAACATTAATATTTAATAATATAAGGGACTGACCTAACGGGACAAATTCATTGCGATAACGTAGTCAAAATATTCTTGAGTGTAGGAATTTGCCTGGTTTGAGTAGAATGAAAGGATTTTGTAGCCCTTTTAAAACAATGATCAACAAACAATGAAGGGTACCCAGTTTTTGTGCAATGGAACGAATGTGTTTCAGTTCTTCATCAATAAATTCAGCGTCACAAATACGCAAACATATCAAAAACATTGCAGAAAAACTGACATTTTGGTAGATTCCCGGTGACGCGATAAAACAAATGTATGGAACTCTTTACCTGTGTAGGCTTTCTGTACACCTTAAATTTATAGTTATGGCCATTTATAATGATAAGCACCATTACTTCAAAGTATTACAGTACCAAACAATTCTTTAAAAGGCACTCCTACGTCCAGCGTGTGCGATCAACCATCAGGTCGTTGACCTCACACCAGGAATGTACCTATTAACCACAAGCACCATGGGGAGTTCTGGCTCCCCGAGTATTAATTCGTCATTCACTCATTCTGCACCCAGGGCAAGCTCACTCTACATTACTTTATGGGAGGGGAAAGAGCGACAGTCAAGTCAAGCCCAGTTAGTTAGTTACAATACAACTAGGTTCCCCGGCCCCCAGCTCGAAGGGAGATTTAGTGTTCCCTTCTTCTATGAACATTTCGTAGCTGATCTGGTGAGATGTGGGCCCATGCGTCTAACTGGGAGATCCGGTTGAAAAACCAGGTTGACCAGGTAGCCTATTCTCCACTACGCTAACAGCAGTTCCGTCTGCCCGCTCGCCCGTTAATTAGCAACGCCCGAGTCAGCGGCCCACTCGCCCGCGTGATCACTGCACAACCCTAGAAATCGGAGTTTGCATTAACTACTGCTAAATTATTTTTTTCGCCTTATCTAAACAACGTCTGAGATCGAATTAGGACTTACTTCTGAACACAGTTGAAAGCGAGTACATAGTACAAGATTACATGGACATTTTTCCCGCGGCCGCGGAAAACTGTGTACTACGGGCAACGAACGAGTCCTTCAAGGCGCCTGCCTACCCCTCTCAGGGACTACTTAATTTTAAAATCCTAAAGTATTCCCAGATTATCCTTTAGTTCTTTTTAGGGAAAGAATAGCCCTATTTAAATATTTCTTTACGTTATTTAATTTCGGACACGAGCTTCCTCGTGGCTTTTTGATAATTATGTTATTTCTCGTGACAGCATGACGTCATTAAGCCTGGTATTTTTATTACTTCCTAAGGACACACGTAACGTATTTTGAACTGGAAAACTATCTAAAATAACTTCTAATTTTATAGTTGTTCTTTAACTTCATAAATCGTTTATACATTAATTTGATAAAGTGCATTTAATTTTTCCTACGCCTAGAGAAACGCAGCAGTTCATGGTGCCTCCACTTGGCCGCTTGAGGACGTTGCCCAAATGCTTTGTTTTAGACCTACCACGAGGTATGAGCGTTTTAGCCTGCCCTACTCATGTTTCCATGTTCATCAGAACGGTACTTTTCGTTAAAAAATCTCTGAATATCGCAATGAAAATTTCTGAATATCACAATCGACCCGCATAAAAAAGACAGCTCAGTCCTCATGTGATGGAAGAAAAATTATGCCTACAACTCCCCCAGATGAGACATGCGCTATTAACTCCAGCTCACACCTGCGACACACTGATTGCAGCATAAACCGTCCTCCACCCCTGTTGCCTGCAGCTCTGGTTGATGCTAGCTTTTCCAACCTCTGACACTACCATTCGCTGCTCAACCGAAACACCCATGTGGATATCCTTACTATCCAGTAGGTCCCTCGGCATCAAGAGCTGACCCATCTCAATTATCCCACCCGAGGTGCATAAAGCAGGAGGACCTCTGCTTACTAATCATCTCCACTTTCTCCTGGAGAATAAATGGGAAAAGAAGGATATCCCCCAACCTCTTAAAGATGCCTCCATCGTCAATATTTATAAGAACAAGGGAGACCGGTCAGACTGTAGCAACTAACGCGAGATCTTGCTGTTATCCGTAGCTGACAAGATTATCACCCAAATCCTCCTAAACAGTATTCTTCCTGACGCAGAAAACTTCCAACTAGAACCTCAATGTGGTTTAGACAATCACGTGACACCACTGACATGATCTTTGCTGCCTGACAGATACAGGAAAGTGCAGAGAACAGTGTCGTGACCTGTACATGAGCTTAATCGACCTAACAAAGGCCATATACTCGGTCAACAGGGAAGCCCTCTGGCGGACCCTCAGCCGGCTTGGCTGCCCACCAAAATTCATTGCCATCGTGAGGCAACTCCACGATGGCATGAACGGCAGTGTTCTGCACAATGAAACCCAGTCTGAGTTCTTCGCCATCCAAATGGGGTTTAAACAAGAATGTGTACAGGCACTAATTCTATTTCCCCTTTTCTTCGCTGCCTTCCTTACTCGTCCCAGTGCCAATTTAGCCAGTAGGGTGGACATCGAGTACTGGATGAAGGGAGGTTTTATCAAAATAAAACGAATCCAAGCAGGAACAAAGGTGTCACCAGCTTCCATAACTGAACTTCAGTATACAGACGACCTCACCCTTGTCATCACACTGAACGCGACCTACAGGAAATCCTGAACACCTACGCAGATGCGCATGCACACTTTGGCCTTGAGGTGAATGTACGTAGGACTCAGATTCTCTTTCAACTACCCCTGGTTCAGCCACACCTTCACTATGTATCCAGTTTTACGGTACTACCCTCTCTAATGTTACCCACTTTCAGTGTATTGGCTCCCATCTGTCCACCACTGCTGATATCGATGAAGAGATTCAACATCGGATCAGATATACATCTCAAACCTTTGGCAGACTCTGAAACCGTTTCTTCAGCTGTAGGGAGCAGACATTCTCTACAAAGCTACACGTATATCAAGCAGTGAACCTCCCCACTATATGGCAGCGAGACAAGGGTCACATACAGAAGGCACATCAAGGCACTAGAAAACTTTCACCAACGTAGTCTATGTTCCATCCTCCGAGTTCGCTGGGAAGACAAGAGAACAAATGCCAGTATTCTTCTTGACACCAACTGTAGAAGCATCGAGGCTACCATTATCCATGAACAACTATGCTGGACTGGCCATGTTACCCGCATGGATGACAATAGACTGCCAAAGCAGCTAATTTACAGTCACTTGACAAATAGTAAATGTAACGCTGGTGGGCAATTGAAAACGTATAAGGATAGTCTTAAGACAAACCTGAAAAATTGCCAAATCGACCCCATCACCTGGGAGACGATTACTCTACAGTCTACATCGTAACGCTTGGATGAGCACCACACGAGAAGGTGTCAATACTTTCGAGTTAGCCCGACTGCATTACGAAGCAGATAAGCGCCAACGACGGAAAGACGCTACTGCCGCCCCTTCCGCACTAGATAGAGCCATGCACATGTGCTACATGTGGGATCGACCCTGCTGGTCCCGTATCGGCCTTTTAAATCATTTCAGAATTCACCAACAAAGGTGATATTCTTAGTACTCATATCATTGTATCATAGCTGGATGATCGTCATACTCGATTCCGAGTGACAGCAAAGAAGTAGTAATAGAAGTAGTAGTAGTAGTGTGTGTGTGTGTGTGTGCGTGGCAGTAAAATGTTAGTGTTAAGGTATAAGCACTGCTTGCTTCCTCTCGCTTTCAGCTGCCTCCGCTGGCTAGCCCTCGTGGCGAACAGGGAAGCAACTTTGCAGAAGTTTTCCCCTGCCATTACACAGCCTCTTCGCCATCAAGA